AATACCAATATCTATCTTAAATATAATAGATTAATATCATTATATATCTTTAAAAGTTTTTTGAACATTTAATGGCATATTTGTGTGTACCAGATTTATCAGTTTGAGTCAAAACTTTTGTTTGATACATTTTTAAACTCTGAGGAAATCATTTAAAAATAAATTTTAAAAGTTAATTTTTTTAATCGCAATATTTCCTTAACGTAATAGTAACAGTTTCGGAAATTCATGTAAGTACTCTGAGAAAACCTTTTAAATACTTATTTCGATCACAATAATTCCTTAATGGTTAAGTTCCAGAATGATAATCTATTTCAAGTCCGAAAAGAATAAAATATCCAATATAAATATATAAAAAAAATAGATGGAAATCCGAGTATGATAACCGAATAGAGTCCTGATTTTTCGCCGTGTAGATGGGGATGTGTTTCAAGTGCGGAAACGGGAAGAGAGAAATGGAGATGTGGAGCGGGGGGTGCAGGGGAAGGGAGAGGGCGATTGCACCGGGCTGTGTCAGATTCAGGTTTTGGTTTTGGCGCAAAAAATGTGTGCTCAAAATTACCAGCAGCAGGTATTCGCACTCGTATTCGTATTCGCATTCGTAGTCGTATCCGTGTGGCTCCGATGATGAGGGCAGCCGCATCCACATAGCCACATAGCCACATCCACATAGCCACATCCACATCCATATAGCCACATCCACAGCAGCAGCCGCAGAAATTGGCGCAAAATTTACAGATGCCTCAAAAAATAAAAACGCAAAATGGAAAGCAAACTGCAGCGGGACAGGTTCCATCGTTGAGTTTGCCAGGCATTTCAAAGAAGAGGGCAATCGCAGTGCCCCCACTTTCCATTTGAATCCCTATGCCACATATATACCACCCCCTCGAAACGCATCCACACACTAAAAATAGCTTAGAGACTGAGAGAATACACGGAGAAAATCATCCGTTTTTCCGCTTCATATTATCCAATCTAAAAATGTATTCCACACCTTGTATTTATTAACTTTTACTGTATGCCTTCGGCCTTTTGGCAAAAACAAAACGAACACTCATCAATAATAAATAAACATAATTCTCTTGTGTTTACAAAAGGAAATTCACTTGATAAATTCGTTAGTTGAGAAACATTTGAGACAATTCGACTAATATTACAGGTCTCCAATTTTGTTTATTTATATCATCTGAGGTATGAAATCATTTGATAACAGATCTACTTGTTTACATAATCATGTGTCATGAATCATGACAACATTTATTACTGATTAATTGAAAATTAGTAGAATTACAAATGTTAACAAAAAAAAAATACTTATCATGAAAAATGGTGGGTTTGTTATTCATTTTCATTTTTGTGTTTAAAAGACATGAATCACGATATTTTTATAATTCCCTTTTGTTTTTCATGATATCCTTTCAACTTGAAAAGGAAATGCCAAAGTTATGATCAACTTAAGTTGGCCTAAAACCATTTATAGGGCTTTAAATATATTTAGTTAATTTAATACGTAAAAATAATCATAAAAAACATGTAATTTATTTCAGTACTCCCAAATAAATCTATTGATTATAAATAAGGCTTATTTTGGGTTTATTAACCAAACAAAATTTGCATAATTTTTGCCTGTGCAATGTATCTGCTAGATACATTTCACCCAACCGTATCCGCAGTTGCTGTTGTTGTTGCCACGCGCAACCGGGACAGAAATCCATATTGCACATTGCACACAATGAAAATAAAAATATAAAACAGCTGACGGGGGGAGGAGAAATGGAGAAGGGAGACAGAAAGCAGAAAGAAGGGGCTCTTTAATGAGCTCATTTATTAATTAGACAGACGTGACGTCAACCTCTGTGTATCCCGAACTCCCTCCAGTATTTCGACATTAAAACAGCAGTTAACCTTATGAGCAGCGCGTGCGACATTTCCATTGATCAGTTCCGTTCGGTGGGTTTCTTTTCATTCCACGGGTTACTTGGTTTGGTTGGTACGTGGGCCATAAACTAATTTCTGCCCGGCCAGGAAAAACAGCTTGAGTTTTCCGCATACAAGCTGCGTTCGGCGGAAGTGACGGCGGAAAAGTAGCCCATCAGTAGACCCAGACACGTACCCAGAAAACATCTAAAAGATAAAAATACTCAGACACTAGACACACACACACTCACACACACCCGAATCCCTGACATGCATTCAAATAATGCCCAGTGAAAAATCAAAATAAGCAAAGCTGAAACGCATTTCGGGGAAATGACGCAGCAACTGGGTCTCAAAAAAGTAAAAAGGGTGGGGGATTTGAGGGAAAATCGTGAAAAAGGGGATCTGTGCAACTTTCACACATTTGCGCACTGCATTGTTCCCCCTCGAGTGCCTGGTTTTTATAGAGATTTTTTGGCGCGAGGGTTGGTTTTTGCATAGAATTGCTGGCACCACTCCGACCTGTGCCACCGATCCACGTCCACATCCACCCGATCCCGATCCCGTTCCCAATCCCGATCCCATCTGATCCCTCGGTCGCAACCCTCAACCCCTGTTCACCTCTCAAGCAGGTAGTTGCCAATCCGAATTTGGACATCGCGCCAAAAAAAATAAGAATAAGGAAGGGAAAACAATCATCATCTGTATACAGTGATCACTGCTGAATTAGAATTCTTGGGTTTCGATTTTATAAATACAAAATATCGAAATTTAATAATGTTGTAATAATGTACATTATTTACTTATCTGTAAATCTTACCTATAAACCCCTTTAAGGTTGGTAAAATTCTTTGTATATTCTTGAGTACATATGAACATATGTACATATGTATGTTGAATACATTTTCCTAGTCGTTTAATGTTTCTAAGTTTCAAGTCTCCCTTTTCTTTAAAAAAGTTTGTTATCTATTTCCTTATTATATTTAGGTTATAGTCTTAAATAGGGGATATGATTAGATTACTTTTATTTTATTTTAATACAACATTTTAATTTATGGATAAAATGAAAATAATGTAAAATGAAATAATGTTAATGTAATGAAAGTAAAGTTAAAATATGGCTATTATTAGGATCTTTATACCCCCAATAATATTTGCATTAGATTGGGGATTTCTACAAAACAATGATCATTCCTTGTAAGCAACTTTAAAGCCTTGACCAAAAATAAAACCAGTTGCCTTAAAATCTTTACTTATTTTGCATGCTTCCTGAAAACCCTTCTGCGAGTGACCACTGTACGCTCGAAAACAATAATAAATCGCAATCCTTTGGGCGCGGCCTTTGTCCGGGCCACTCTTTAAAATGACTAATCGGTGCGGCGGTCAAAGAGCCAGACGAAATGGGTCTGAAGGCCCGATCCGAGGTCCACCATATAGCATATAGCACATAACAGCTGCATTTATCCAGAGTCTCGATGATCAGTTCCCGGTTTTCTGCTGACTCAGCAATAGTGATATTGAAATGAGCCGTGGCCCACATTAATGCGAGTGTGTGTGTGTGTGCGTGTTACCAACTCCTACCTCTATTTCTATGCGGTTTTTCAACTCTTTTCACTTTCGTTTGTTCAAGTTACGCTTGAACTGGCGCCGCCAACGAGAAAGTGTTTTTTTTCGTTTTATTTTTTGCATATTTTACCTCTCTATTATACAGATTGTTCCGCTGAATTTTTTTGTTCCCTGTGGCAAGTGGTTTTTTTTTTCTAGGCACGTCTAGCCAATTAGGCCGTTTAATGCCGCATGAAGCCCCTTTCGACCTTGGGTTAGGGCCCAAATCGCACTAACACATCGGCTAGTTAGCGCTTAGCATAGTATTTGTGTGGGATAAACAAAAACAAGCCGGGAGTCTAGCATAACTAATTGTATTTACACGGGCTATAATTGGCACACAAAAACAGATTCACTTTCCATAATTGTTACACGTAAATGGGCAATATCGTAGGTCGGTCTAGTATTTACGTTAGTAGGGGAAATACATTAAACTGATTTGTAGAGATCTCTCTTTGGCACTCATTACAGGTACTCTTTGCAATTAGTGTCGCTCTTTGGGGAAAGAGGAAACTTGGAAGGTGCCGCCGTACTGGAACTAATATTTGAGATGTTTTACCAGGGACTATGAAGTCATTTTGCTATTCAAATGTTTGATAAACTACTTTAAATTCATCACAGCAAACTGTTTTGATGCAATTTAGATTTATGATATAATATTGAGCAAAGTGAAAAAAAACTTCATTCAAAAATACAAGTTAATTTTTTCCATATTTAATTCAAAGAGTAAAGTTTTATTTTTACCTGAATAGCCAACTATACTATATAATTGCCATGTGTTTTTGATTGGTTAGTTTAGATTCCAAATAATTAAGCAATAGCTATTTTTTAAGGCTAACAATACAGTTTTTTAGTACATTTTTAAAATAATTTAGTCTGTTTTAAAACAACTTAACAATTTAGGAATCAAAGCATAAGCAATCTAAGGATTATAAATGTATAAAAACAGAATTTTACCCATTCCAGCAATCACACTTATACATTAAATAGAATTTTTTGAGTATTTCAAATTGGACTTGCAATCTATGACGTCACCACACTAGCCTCCTTCCACTTTGCGTCACCTCGCACTCTCTCCGTAAGCCGCGCGTGTTGAGTTACTTTTAGTTTAACAGGGAAAGAGCGTAACACCTGAGAGAATCGGCTGTAAAACGGCTGTGCTCATTTGGAAAAAGAGTATTTAAATGCCAGTTAATAACTAAATAAACATTTGTGTATTTCAAAATTTGCTTAATTATTATAGTTTGTCATTTAAATAAGTAAACATTTGTTACAAAGATATGATCAAAGTGCATATTGTAGTGTTAACAGTACGTAGGAACGGGAGTGAAAACTAACAGAGCCCGTGAGAACTCGAGTGGAATCGTTAACAGTGGGCAAAACTCGTTAGAGATGGAACACTGCCGATGTCTTAAAAACATCGATGACATAGGTGCCCGCAACGATGTCTCTCCACCTACGTTTTAGCGCTCATTCGTTTTTCGAAATTTGCCTCGAACGGTCGTGTTCTGTCTCTACACTCTCCTAGCTCTCTCCCGTGAAAGTCGTAAAGTGGAGAGCCAAGTTAAAAGTACAGAAAAAAATACACAAAATTAGTTCGTCTGCGGTAGAAAACCAATTGAAACTGCAATTGCAATGCATAAGATACGTACGTGAATTTCGCGCAGTGTTTCTGTGAAAGTTCAAGTGAAAGCTGAAAGTAGAAACAAAGCGAGAATACTTGCAAACAAACCAAAAAAAAAAAAAAAGATACAAAGATACAAAAAGTGTGAGAAAAGAAAATCAGAAAAATCAGAAACCATGGCCATTTTATGTCAGCCAATCAGTTTGACCCTTCAGCTTGCCCCCATAGTGCCACGCCCACCGCCCAGTGCCTCGGAAAAGAAACGAATCCGCCGGAATCTGTTTGGTAGCACCCCCGGGGACCCGGAAATCGACCAGCTGTTGGCCCAAACGCAATGCGCGGACCGAATGTGCGTCAAGGAGCGCTACGGCTTCGATATCCTCCTGGTGGAGCAGCGCGAACGGGCGCAGGACGATGCCTTAAGGGGCATGAGATACCCGACCAGCCGGGCGACACCAAGTGCCGATGCCGATGACGAGTGCAATCCGAAGGCCAGCCAAGTGGCGCGGGGCGTGGCCCTCACCGCCCCCGAGATCTCCGCCAGCGCTCAGCTGATCCTCCAGAAATGCACACACAACAACAAAGGCAGCGACAACAGTGCGGATTTGGCCAACAGCACGAGACATGGCCAAAAGCCATATGCGTTTCAGCCACTAGTCAAAAGTAAGTTTTTTCCCATGATTTTTATGTTTATTTTTGCCATGAGATCGAAATTGGAACACTCTTTGGTTCCCTAAAATTGTTGTTTCCCAAAGATAAATTTATCTAAAAGGTCAGAATTGACTAAATCATCAACAAATATTTCTACTGATCAGAAGGCAAACTATTTTCTATTCTAGAAAAGATATATGTATCTACGTAAATAAATAATTATTTGAAATATGAAAGCGAAAGTTTAAAAAAGTATTTTTTTAAACAGGAGACCAAATTTCCTACGAATTTCTACTTGGGCATGTTTTCTTTTCCAAAATACTGTACTGATTCCAAAAATAAGTATTTTACTTTAGCTGGCAATAGCTGTAGGTAGAAGTTGTGCTATTATCAGATTTGGAACTAAGAGTGGCGACATGCGGAAGTAATGTTGGTGTTAATTATAAAACATCTAAGGTTTTTTCATAGGTGTCCAATAAGCAGGCACCTGATTTTCGTTTCTTTATCCGTTATTCCTTCTTCTTGCAGTCCTTGTTTGTGCTCGTCCTTTTACTCGGTTCAATTTCACCCTTATGAAATTCTTTCCGTTGGCCGAAAAAACCACCCCTGTTTTCAGATTTTTATAATTTCGTAAAACCTTTATGGGTTGATTCCTATTGTCACGTTCTGTGTAATTTTTCTGAGTTTCCCGCTTTGGGTAGTTTTTTCCGATTCTGCTTTGCTTTCATTCAGGTGCGTATCCGAAAGATTTTTATTTTATTAACAGGGAAATGATCGGTAAATCTGATATTTCAAAATTTTGTTCATTCAGAAAAGGTCGAATATGTATATCAAAATTTATTGGATTGTACTATTCATTGGTTGTAAAATTTTTAATTTTTTTGACTTGAGGAATTCTTTAGATAATTCCAAATTCTTTAGATAATTCAAAAAATAGTTCTTAAGACAATATTTTCGAAATATCCAAACAATTAATTTCAATTTATCTGGGGGTTCTAATCGTCCAGACGGTATTGTATTTATTAATTTGCCCTTGTTTGGTTATTTAACTGCGCTAAGGGCTCGAATCAATATTTGCAACAACTGTGCACACAAACTGCACTCAGATGTGTGTTGTTGGACTGGTTTAAGTGCCGTTAATGGCTCTTTTTTATCGGTTTGCTTGGCAGGGCTCCCCCTTCGTCCTCCCCCCCACACTTTCATATTCATTTCACGTACTTTTTTTTCGTACGAACTCGGAATCTCTCCTCTGCATCGAAAGCTTGTTTTTCGGTTTTTGTTTTGATAGACGTTTGTTATTGTGCCCCGTTCCATTTTGCTCTGCTGTTTCCTAACCACTTTACGATACAAAAATGCTACGAACTTTATTCACACTTCGCTTTCATTGTGACTCTGACTTCGTTATCAATTCCGCATGTCAAGGCTCCGATTGTGTTATTGACTCTTGAGGAGAAACTCGCAATATTATTTTTTGCGTCACAGTTGAACTTGCATAAGTCGAATTTTAAATTGTTTTTAACCGAACTTCTGAATATGGCCAAAGTCGAATAATTTTCCTGCAACAATTGACGTTCTTACAGATTTTGATTCTTGGTAGGAAACACCTTTATTGATGCATTTATTTTATGTTCAATATTTTATATTTTAGCCAGTCATGATCATCTAATTTATTTTCTTAAACCGAATTAATTCGGTAATTTTGGTTAGATCTAAAAATTTTTCTGAACTTATATTTTCGTAGACTTACATATGTATATTTTTGGAAACCAAATACCAAGTCAGTTTTCCATAGTTTTTAATGAATAATCGTAAAAACTTGAAGAATTGTAATTGTATTTGTAAGATTTGTATATTTTGCCGAAACTTTGAGATAGCTAACTTCGATTTATAGAAGTTCGACTGTACCTTCAATTTTGGGCTTATTGTTATTTATGACTGATTTACTTTACGTTGATATTCCGTTGATATCGTGGCAAACAGATAGAGAAAGAGAGAATGAGGAGAAAGAGAGAGCTGTCGCCAGTTTGTCTTTGGCAGTGTGTCAAAGCGAAAAAAGCTAAACAACAAACTGTACGTCAAAATAAAAACTGTTGAATAACAATCGCGCGCCAAAAATCTTTCTTTCTTTCGCTAAAAGAGATTGCAGCAGAAAAGCGAAAAATAACAACGAAAAATGCAAAGGCAATTAATTGAGAGGCCTCAATTAAATTTAAATCAGCGCCAACGCCTTCTGGTTTTTATTGTTGTTGTTGCTAGCTGCAGTTTCGCAAAGGAACAAAAAACAAAAGTAAAAAAAAACAACAAAAATCAACTACTTGGCACACGCCTGCGACTGTACATGGATCTTATTGTAGATGTATTAGTGGGCTCCCCACTTTTTGTTGTTTTAAAAGCCGCACCCACAACGACAAGCGCAATCTCAACCAGAAGAAAACAACAACAATAGCGTCACTCTTATACGACGACGTCAGCCCACTCACACGCATACATATATATTATTTTCAAAAGAGAGCCTGTTTTCTCTCTCTCTCTGTTTGTCTGCCTGCTGATGATGTTTTTTTGCGTTTTGGCGCGAATTTCGTATTTTTGTATTTATTTTTAGTCGTCTTCGCTGATAAGCAATCCGTATGTGTGTGCGTGTGTATCTGTGTTATTGTGCGTAGTAGTACTACGCACGCACGTTGTTGATGTTTTTCAAAACTCTCGTGAAGGTCACGCATACAAGCAAACGCAAATCGCGTAAGTACAGCAGCGCCAAATGTTGTATTTTGTTGTGTTGTGTACTTTTGTGGCAGGTCCGAAAAACTGGTCCAAAAGAAGAAAAACAAATCAATTAGATACAAGTTCTGTTATCTCGCCCTCCCGCGTTTTTTTGTGCCATGTTTTGGACTCCACTGTACATTTACAGTTAACGCAGAAAAATACAAATGATGGTAAATGTAATAATTTTTGAATGCAAAAAAAAAATATAAGTTGCATGCAGTGAGCATAAATAGTTTATGAACAAATTATGTTTAAAAACCTAGGGCTTAAAAAAAAAATTGAAAGCAACATGTCGTATGATTAATAATACGCAGTGTTGCCTTTGACAATTTTTCCAATGACTTTTTAATTGATGATCAAATCTTATAGTCATTTAATTCTCTACTTTAAAGTATTAGCACGATTTTACCGCAACTCTTGTAAACAAAATTTTGAATTGATTACAATTTTTTATAGGAAATTCGGGTTTCAGTTTGCTTTACTTTGGATTCTAAATATTGTGTAGCGCTAACACCATGACTTTGGATTATATTTTTGCGATCTATTTGGCTTTCATCCCATTTGTTTTGCTTGGCACTTCTTGCCACGCCCCAAAAAGCAAGTTATGTGTGGTGATTTCCCTCTAAATTTATGTTTTTTAATTATGCATGCAGAAACTCTCTCGTGGGCTCCCACATAAATATTTATAATGTGAGTTCTTTGTTGCTGTTCCTGTTTTCATCGCCGCCTCTCTCTCCACACACATTTCGTAAACAAAACGCGTTTTGTTGTTTTGCAAAAGGGAAAAAGATAGGTGGAGAAAGAAAGAGAGCTAGTTAGAGCTGCGTGCTTATAATGATAACGGTAAACGCACTCCCCCACCTTCTCTTCCTCTTTTTCCCCACCCGTTTTTTACAATAGGCGATCGCTTATTTGCCGTTTTCCTCTCTTTTCCTCTTCTTGTCTCCGTTTCGCTTGACGTTCTTTGTCGCTGGCTTATAATTTTCTATAACTGTACATTTGATTATATCGCCGGCAGCGCGACTCTGTGGCTGCCAGCGATTTCCCTTCTCTTTCTTGGGGCTTTCAAGTTTCGGCCCCAAGTTTGCAACGCCCCCAATGAAAGGTTTTCCAATTTTTTTTTCGTTCCACTTTTACCAAAATGAAATCTTATTATTAGTGCTAAAATTTGTTGTCTTACTAAAAAGAACAAAATAAACGTTTTTGATCTAAAAAATTAATCTTAATTAATTCGGCCAGTAGTTCTAATAATTTCGGTCTAGAAATCGACTTATGTATTATGTGTAAGTTACTTTGAAAACAAAAAAAATGTTACTCAGAATAAGAATATTTCTAAAATGACTGGCCTTATAAAAATACAAAGGCCAGATTATATTATTTATTATTATTTTGGTCATACCGTACACATAGAAAAATCCAATTGCAAGGGTGCCCAAGTATTCGGTTTTCTAAGCAAGCCTAGGAGCTTTCTTGTTTTTGTGTTCCCCGTTTTTGTTGCTTTTGTTCGGCTTTTAGGTCACTGCGCAGTGGCTGCGGTTTGATCATCGACGTCGTCTCCAAACGATCGTCTAAGCTCCAGCGGTTTACGTGATGAGGCAACCGCAGCTGCTAGCGATTGAGGCTTGATGGAAGTACAGTCGACATTCTCTAGCACTGAATACAATTTTTATTATAATACACAATTCTAATTCCAAACACATCTAAACTAGGCTTGACATTAAATCTAAAGCTCAATTACCATTTATACTTTTCTAGACATCAAAGTTAATTAATAGAAATATTTAAATGTGTATTCTTTGTTATTTCAAATTAAACTTCAGAAATGGAAGAGGAAGTCTGACAGTTCGGAGATTTTTATTTCGTTAGTTTTTGAAATAAGTTCCTAAAAAACAGGAATAAGGGGCTTAAGGTTCAGTTAACAAAATTGTTTGATAAATTCAACATTGCTGAAACAGAATGATTTAAAATCAGTTGAGGGATTAGTAAAAAACCAATCTGATCAAGATAGACTGTACTTGTTTCAATGCAACAACGCCGAATACAAAATCAACTAATTGGGGTTGTGCGACATTTTGCTGTCTGTCATTATAACGCTTTCGTAGGGCGAACGTTCCCGTTCGTAGATTACCCTTCTAAGCACTTCCCCCTCCCCCTCCAGAGCCCAGGACAGCTGCAGTTTTTTCGATTGCAGCTATCGCTGTGGCCATGACATTTATTTATCGGCCAGCCAATGACCAGGTATACGATTATTCTCTATAGGTTTTTACTCTCCGTGTGTTTTAGCTTGCACAAGTGTGCATAATTCCAGCGAGATAAGAAAGCTGACCAAGAAAAACACACCCACTGACACGTATGCATAGGTAGTACCCCAAGTAATTAGATTCGCTGCACCTTGGGTTGCTTTCCCTTTTGCTTTCTGAAGGTCAAAAGTGACGCTGGCACTTTTATTTTTGTTTTCCCCATTTCCATTTGCATAGTGATTAGTCACAGTATGTTTTGCACTATTTTACATCACTAACTTTACCCCTTTATTTCTTATCTCTGCAGGCACTTACCGCGTTCGCAAGGCCATCAACAAGGGGATATTGAAACACGGCAAGAATAGTTACATCAGCAACAACAACAACAACAATAACAATAATGTGGATAATGGTACTAGCGAATTGGAAGATAAGGAGCAGTAATTCTGGAGAAGGACAACGGCGAATGGCCCCTTGGCGGAGCAACAATTGCAATATATGATATTTATTGTAAACGTAATTTTAATTTCTAAAATAATTTGTTTATTTTTTTGTGTACCCCCCCAAATGCAAAGAAACTTTTGTGTATGGATTGTACGTTTGTTTTAAAAAAGACTTGACGGTCCCAAAAATTGTTGTTGCTTGCAAATGAAAATGAAAATGAGAAAGCGAAGAAAAAAAAAAAGAAGCCAACCAGAAACAACAACAAAATAACAACCAGAAAAGATCGGCGCGCGTGCACGGCCAAAAACAGGCAAAAAACAATAATTATAATACATCCGGATGCATGGCGATATCGATATAATTATGGAAATTATTAAGTTAAAGATATGTGTATGCTAAATATTTATGTGTAAAAAGAAAATTATTTGTACATTGGCAATACGTAAATTGTACGCGAAAAAGCGACAGACTTAAATTGTTAGGAGCAGATTTACGATGTAGATTAAAATGTAATTAGGCAATGCTAATTTTAGACAAGCGATCGGCGCCGTGCATCCATTATATAGACTCTTACCCCCAATCCAAACCAATTCAAGCGTTCTCAGCGTGTTTTCGGTGCCTGATGCACGCGTGTGCCAAAAGTATTTACAATTTACTTTGTGTCATGATCTCAATCATTAAAAACAATTTTATTATTTTGTTTATCTAAATGTAATTATAATTGAAATTATTTAAAAATTCTTCTTAGCCCACCCCACACAAAAACACACACTCACCCACACACTTTTACACGCACTCACACTCTAAACTCATATTTATTGTATGTACATTATCGATGTGACATTTTAAATTGTATGTACTGTCTTATATAATATTTCGTATATTTGGCCAAATTATTTCCCCCCTCGAAGACCCCTTTAACTTTAAAAAACTATTTTGAACAACCAAACTGTGTATATTGTATGGAGCAGTACCAAACTCCAAGCAGCTAAATGAAAATGAAAAACCACAAAAACAACTACAACAAATACTGTGTATATTTCCTTAAAACTTTGTAATACTTATGCAAACATGATGAAAAAAAAAGAACTTTTTTACTGTAACTCTCCAGCGAGAGGAGAAGCGGAAAAAAAAACAAAAACTAAAAAAAAACTCTTAAAAATACAAATGTAAAACAAAAAACATTTAAAAGCTTTTTATTTGCCTACTTCGGCTGGGTTGTTTCTAGGGGCCCTTTTGGGCCGAGATGGCGTGATTATTCTCAAGCGTAAAGAAAAGTTGTGGCACACAAGTGGAGAAAGATAAAAATAATAGCATGACTCAGCTTTGGGCCTCGAGCTGCGGATGCAACAGTTTCTCCATTAGACATTAGACAAGGGCCGCTCTTTAATTTCCACGGACAGTGAAGCCCCAATTTGGACGGACAAAGTAGACTGTGGAACAATGAAGGCGCCACTTCTGCCAATTGAAATGGGTTTAATTCTTTTTTAAGACCCAAGATAAATGTGTAGGCTTATAGCTATATAGACTGTATAAGTAGATTAAATACTGCGTCTAAAGATTAAATTTCACGATTTTTTAAATAAACTCTTACGGATCGAACAATCGTTTTATCGAGGCCTCACTGTTCTAATTACATTCAATGCAGAGGTTTGGGTATGCAATCAAAAGTGAAGTGGAAAGGAAGTCGGACCTTTTTCCAATTAGTGCGTTTTCTTTTCTTCGCTTTAATCGCTAATCACCCGGACCAATTGAGAGGCTTCACTGTGGATATCGGGGTCTTTCAATGGATACACATGGCCCGCGGACATTTCGGAAAATGCTTTCTAGTCGTAATTTGTGTGCTATGCGTATGTGTGTCAAATGTATCTATGTATCTAGTGGAGTGGAGTGGGCACTTAACATTAGATTGGCTGTGACTTCCGGCGAACAAACGATCGCTGGGCGACTGATGATGATTGATGCTGGCCACCGTCCCCATTTACCCCTCCCCCATCTTCTAAATCAAACGGATGTGGATCCCTAACTTACAGAAACCAAAACAATGTACATATGTATACTCATTAAAGAGTTAGAGAATTTTAAGATACATTTTTAGAAGTGCATACAAAGTTAAAAAATAAATGATAATATGAGTTGTTCAATAGAATTTTAATATGGCAAACCTACAAATATTTATATAATTGTAATATTTATATTTCTTTATATTTATATGTATAAGATTGAAATATGTGAAGCTTTAAGATACTTATGAGGTATGGTGTATGTAGACATTGATCCCCGCGAAACTAAGTGCATTTTTCATGCTTTGCGAGTTAATTATAATTAAAGTTCCATAATATTTTATTCGAAGAAAACTAACGATAGCCATAAAAATTCTAGTTGTAGATTTCAGGCATTTGGCACTGCTCTCTTGAGCGAATCAAGAATGCAATATGCAATAATAATGGCACTGCTGGCAGAGAAGCAAATTACATGCTCTGCATTTCGTAACAAGCATGTACAACATATTTGCCCACTTAACTAGCGGCCTGGTACGGTTATTAGCATGCAATTTCAAGATTTTAATGGCTCTGCACTTGCATCTCAGTCACATACACACGCATTCGCATTCACGTAACGCAACAGAGCCCAGGCGTACAATTCTTGATGAATAAATAGCACTCAAGGTGATATCAATAAACCGGGGCGATCTTGTATGTATCTATTATATTGGAAAGTAATATTAAAATAATTATACTTAGGTATTAAATCGTTCTTTCTACTATTACAATTGGAACATTTCAAGATACAAAAATATTTTTTAAAATTGTTTTCTAATTCTCGTTTTAAAAGATAAAAGCAATTTTATTTGTTTTAAATGATTTTGAAACAGATGAAACAGATAGAACGCTGCCATTACGTGTAGACTTTCAATAAAAAAAGTAGCATACTTTTTGCGACTATTTACTTGCGCTACATTTCTTTTTGATACCCAATATATGCATATTTATATTCAAATGATTACTTTTTTATTCTAAGTGCTATTATTTTTACCACCATAGTAGGCTGAGGGAGCGGGAAAGAGAGAGGTAGTGTGGGATCTTGGCAGAGGTGTTTGTACCCTCGGCAAAGTCGCGTTGGCCGCAATTCCCAACTGCGAATCGCGTTTTTTTTTTGCATTCGCCACGCAATAAATTCAAAGCTGCAAAGCTAAATTTATGACGTCGATGGTGTGCCCATAACGGTAATGTTAAGTCAGAGCCATTAAAAAAAAAAACCGAAAACAGGGTGTCGCGATTTTGTAAGTATTGTAGCTCTATTCCTCCTTGCTTTCACATTTTATTTGACTTTTTGTTCGCTGCAAAATCACAATAATTTATGGCACGGCCAAACGGCGGAATTTAATTGCATTCCGTTTTCGCATTAATCACCATTAATGTCAGCGGCTGCAGTCGAGTGGGGTGCAATGTCTGGAAAAGCGTGAAAAGCGAGCCAAGGCCATCTGACAGTCGTATGAGGCAGAAATTGAAATCAATCAGCCCTGAACCGAGTGCCCCCACCCCCCGCTCCTCACACCACACTCCCCACTCCCACTCCCTATTCCCAACTCGCTCTGTAATCAGCCCTCTCGCTCGCACGTGAGGTCAGCAAGGGGGCTAAAAAGTAGGGAGAGATATGAGAAGGGGGAACAGTGCAGCTGATCCCTCGGCCACTGCTCTAATCTCCTGACCAACTTGTGGCTTCGCATCGTTTTCATGGCCCCACTCGACTCGGATCATTTGCTATACCCTACCAGGAAAGGGGACTATCAGTTTTCACTTGGGACTATTTAAAAGATTACAAAAGTATATGTAATTTATCATTAACTTATACCATGATGATAATCAGAGAATCTACTTTAAAATATTACATCTCTATTCTGTTTCATTTTCTCGCACTAATTTAGAGTTATTTTTTTAATTTCGAACTGATAGCTCTATTGTTCATCAATTGCTAATAAATTTTAGTCATCAGTGATCAAAGTCTGCTGGCTATATAATTACTAATGCTTGTGAACAGGTTTGTTTCTGTATTTGCTTCCGATATACTATTAAAGATAAAGCCTTTCTACTAGTAAAACAAATTAATGGAATATACAAATATTACTCATTAATCGGTTGATTTCGGCTTAAGCTAATTACAAGATTCAGGAATGACTCAATTTCCTTTGTTAAAATTCTATTGGAATGTACATAGGAAATACATACAAATTACAAACGAATTTCCAGCACAATCAAATGGATTTCTGAGTCACCCCCACATAAAAGGTTTTTGTTTGGATTGTAGGCTGTCATTTATGTTAAGCCCCATGGATATTGACCTAAGGTATTCGAGTCTTCGGTATGATGAGATAGACTTATTTTCCCACTGCTGTTGCCGCAGCAATTTCAGTTGGCCAAGTCCGGGGCAATTTGCAGCACAAATCAACGGCATGCAAAGCACTTTTGTTTATTTCGTTGATTGTTCCCACAATTTTCGTACAATGCCGGAAAATGTACGTGCCCAAGCGTTGTTACTGTAATTGCCCTCAAAAAAAAAAAAAAAGAAAAAAAAAAACCAAAGCGAACAGAAAATAAAGAAGATGAGGGGAAAAAATAAATCATACAACGTGAAAATTCTTTTCAAATGTCAGACAAAGGCGAAGTCGCAGAGGGGAAGCGTGGGTGGGGATCCCCTGCTTGACAGACTTGAAAGATTTCAGATCTCAGAACTCAGATCTCTCGGATGCGGACGCAAATCGCTGGGCGCTGTAATCGTGCCCAGTTTTCGGATAGGACGGAAAAGACATTGCCCACAAGACATTGTATGGGAAGATCACGTACAGCATGAAATGGGGGCGTCATTTACATTGCCTTTTAGAGGAGCGAGCTTAGAGCCAGGATCGCATCCAATCCCATCGCCTCGGATCGTGAGCGTGTGAATCAAAAGCAAAAGTATGAGATGAGCAGGCCAACTCAAAGTGAGGGTCTTGAGAAGGGCCAGCCTAACATACGTACTCGTAGATCTCAGAAACGTGATCTCCAAAGGAGAACGTGTTGCCTTGTTATTGAGACTGTCGACAGCCTGCTTGAATAAGATCACACCAAAAATGTTTCTAGTCTGGAAAACAAAAGGAAAATTTCAGCTCTTAATTCCCCACAAATGTTGACCGTAGGCAAATTTATTAAAAAGGACAAAAAAGGGAATTTTCAGTTCATAAATATAATATCTGTTTGCCAGCTGAGTAATGAATTAAGTATCGAACCCATTCTATTAGAAATTTAAAGCCAAACAGTCAAGTTCTAAATTTCCAAAACGAGTGTACCCAAAATATTAGCTTAAATTCTGAGTGGCATATTTATTATTCCTATTTTAGAACTCGAAAATGTTAATCCAATTCATTCCATAAAAAACAACTACTTGTTAGTTATGATAATATTGAATTCCTTATGAACTAAACGAAAAGTTTTAATGAAATGGCTTCAAGGCGAATTAAGTAAAAGCTATTATCCTTGGACAATGATAAATTAATAGTAATACTTAAAATTGTCCGGCTAACTGACATGGTCCCCTTTTTGTTTGACAGGTGATGGATGATGATATTAAAAGATCTTTTGAAGATTTAGGTTTTCATTAACTTAATTCATTTAAATAGAATTCGACTTACCCGTGTATTTCTATTTGAGGTTGAAAGCAAACAAGTCAAGACCAATTTTCGGGATGAGTTTTCCCAAAATATCCATGAGAATTCTACGCGGGATGTTTTTACTTACCAAATGGATTGGTTTGGTCTTCTTCCGCGTTAAAGAGACAACGAATAACACTTTGATTTTAGAGGAGACCTGGAAAAATCGTTCGTTCTGGAAGTGGCTCTCAATAATCTTCCGACTTGTGCCTCTTTGTGTCAACTTTTACACGTATAGTGTTTGGCTTGTGACTATGGAAATTATCGTCCAAATTCTGCACTTCACCCGCCTTTTTCTAACGATCCCGTGATATCTGTCGATGATTTACCTTCAGCTTTTCTATGGCAAAGAGGTGATAACGTTGGCCAACCGCTATCTTCGCATCTTTCGACGAGTAAGATCCTTGCCGATAAAAAACCGAACTGGATTCGTGGCGGACGGGAACTACTGTTTATTCTTATTTCTATCTGCTGTCAACTCTTAGAATTTGCGAATAT